TCCACCCTGTGCTGGTTTCAAAGGAGACTGTCCTTTCCCTTGTATGGGATTCTTTGTAGTTGTTTCATCCACATCCTTGTCGTGGACGGAGGTGTCCTCTATTTGAAGGGACAGCTGGTGCAGTTTTCTGCTCTTCCTCTTCCTCCTCCCTCTTTGACCAAAACTGACAAAATTCAGGACCTGGGAGGAGAAGGATCATTTCAAACGGAGGACCTCAATGTTTACCAAATAAATAAACTACTTTCTGACTAATAATGCTGGATACCAACACTTGCCTGTCCTTCGAACTCTCCCCACTGGACTCCCCTCCAATGGGAGATGACATGGAGAAGGCAGGACTCAAGCTGGATCTGGATCCAGATCGACAGGTCTATCACAGTTTGAAGGAAGGTGGGAGATTCTGAGCAACACTGTCGGCAAAGAAAAAAATTGTTGGTTTGTTTTTGACATGACATGTTTCTATGCCTCTAAATATGCTTTCAAAAATTGTCGATTTGTTTTTGACATGACGTGTTTCTATGCCTCTAAATATGCTTTCAGTTAATGAAGTTTGGCTAAATATATAAAGAGGGTTTTCTTTCCTTATGTGAGGCGGAAGGAAGATAATGTTTTTATATCCCTGATAAACCTATAAATGCACTAGACCTTTTGTAAAATTAAGGAAATGTGAGTGCAGCAGTAAATAATATGACAGAAATATCACTGCAGTTCTCTGAGGTTTATTCTAAAAAGCATGCATCTAAAATGCAGACGTGCACGATAAGTTTCTGGTGCATGACAGCCACCTGTAGATCAGTGGAACATCAGCAGAGTCTGTGGTGCTGCCTCGGAGCTGAAGTACAAACCGAAGCAGAGAGAGAGTCATACGTACAAAACCTTTTTGAAGTTCTTCTCATGAAAAGAAATTTAATCTGATTAAGGTTATCGAGAGTTTCAATTATTGAACTTTGTATGGTGTTATCATATCAATTACAACCAAAACGTCAAGGATTTATCTTTATATAGCAATCCCAACAACAACAACAACAACAACAACAATGTGGTAGAAGACATTCTAATCTTTATTTTTAGATCTATAAATTCACCCAGTCCTGATGAAAGAACGCAGTGACATCATTAAAAGAAGCAGTGCTGCAGTAAAAGTAACGACCCAACTTTGAGTTTGTTTATATCACACATTAGCAGAGTCACAGATGACTTACTGCACATGAAACATTCCTGTGAGGCAGCAGTGGAAGGATGAAGAGGTTTTAGAGCATGTGCAACAAAGTGAATTCAAAAACCGTGCGAGGTCTGTTTGCAGTGCTGTCAACCGACAAATTAATTTTCCAGACCTGCTGTTTTTCTTCTCCCAAAAACAAAAACATTCTCCGACTCTAAGCTGTGGGTAAATTTGACTTTAGAAATAATAATGTATCTGTTTTTTTTTTATCTTCCTGCACCTACAGTCTCAGTTGTTGTCAGCCTGTGGCATGTTTCAGTTTATGTGTTTGATTCTGGAGCAGGCAGGTGTGTGTGTGTGTGTGTGTGTCATCTCAGCTGTGCCAGGCCCGGGGGTCTTTGGGGACAACGACAAACTCAGACATGTTAACTCAGATCAGTGACACATGAGCACAGCAGGATTAGCCCAGTTGGCCACCTAGAACTTGGCTCTGCCTCTGTGACCTCTTCAATCTGACAGTGATTTGACCTCAGATCGAAACATTAAATACTTTTGTGTCGACTCACCTCACATTTCCAATATCAATGTGTTCTACTGTAGAGACATAAGCAGTTTAATGAATTATTACCCAGACTGGTCACATCTTGCTTTATCATGCGTTTAATTGCCCCAACAATTACACAGGATTAAATGCTGTTGTAGTAACAGATGGGGTTAAGTTTTCAACAACTGTGGTGAGGCATTGGTTGTTTAGTTAGTTTTCTTTGGTTTTTTGATGGTCATATTTTTATTCCACACTTTCTACTTTGAGTCTTAAATGTTGCAATTTTTAAATGTGTGCACAGTTTGATCACACACACTGGTTACACTTATTTGCCTATCATTAGATCTGGACGACTCTAAAGTCGAGAGTGATACTAGCAGAAGTGCAAGTTCCTTAAAGTGTACAGTTTTAGGTCAGTAGTCAGGTCTCACTCACATCTGTTTTGGTATGTGAGCTGAAAATATACTAATTTGCTTAACAGACAATAAAGATATGTTATAACTGAGAAGACACTTGTTGGAGCAGGCCGGTGATCGACACCCGCCCAGCTCTCTAAATTAAGAGAGGACGTGTGAAAAGTGGACATCGTCCTGAAATTTAAACCACACATCTGTTGTAACCCAGTAGGAGGCACTCAATGCTCGCTCCAACTTCACATTACCTGTAACATTACATCTGACTTGGAGTCCTGTCCAGCAGCACTTTGGCAGCCGAGCGGTCTGAGACGTAGTCCTGCGGTCGGTTGTTGTTCCTCCTGCTTCTTTTGAGAGCTGTAAAGCCAGCATTTCTTTTTTTATCAGCCTTTCTCCCTCTGTGTTTCTTCACTCTGACTTTATGACTGCAGAGGCCAGTTTTGGCTGTGGCCTAGTATCCTAATAAAACTGGCCTGCCTTTTCATCCATTGCTTAAATTAACTAAAGTGGCCTTTAAACCTCATTTTAGTTCCTGAGTCTCTGTAAAAGACAAGGATTTGTTCTTTCTAGTCTCTTCGTTTGCTCTCCTGGTTTTTGGTTGCCATGTCAGCATTTTGCAGTGTGTTTTATTTTTACATGCATTTCTACTGATAATGTTTTTTATAAATATTATATATATATATATATATATATATTATATATAATATATTATATATTATATATATTATTTATTGAGGTCACAGTTCACACCATCGCCACTGTGGGTGATATGCCAGTATAAGACTTCTGCAGTTGCTTTTATTTTGTTCCACTAAGAGAGAAACACAGGGGATGAACCCAGTGGAACACTGGTAACTGATTTCCTTTCCTGAATTACATGTTCACATGTTCTCCCCTTGTGATTATGTAGATTTTATCCAGGTAGGTCGAATCCAGAAACATACAAGATTAGTTCACACTAAACTGGCAGCTGGTGTGAATGTGAGTGTGAATGGGTGTGTTTTTCTACTGCAGTAGAAACAAACTGTCCTGAGTGTCTTCTTCTGTCCCCCACAGCCCTGTAAAGGACTCGGCAGTCAAAGATGAATGAATGAGAGAATGGAGCTCCATCATGGCCGAACTCTATGTTCACTTTTAAGAACCCAGAGAAACATTTCCCGCTTTCTGTTCCTTTGCTTTCAAAGATCAGGGGTTGATTGACTGATGAGGAGAGTGCAGGAAAGGCCAAATAAGTTAACTGTCGTGTCCTTGGTGTGTGTGTGTGTGTGAGAGTGAAGGCCCTGGGAGAACCGAGACATGAGACTGCAATAGAGAGGGGACACGTAAGATTCTCCGTCCCAGAATAAACCTCTTCCCTGGAAGTACCAATTGGCATGGCATCTAATCCTGCATGTATGCCACGGCACGGTCAGCATATCAGTGTTGATCAGTGGGTGTGTGTGCGCGCAGACAACACGTGAGCCTCCAAAGTGTTTGTCCATGTGCCTAGCGTTGAGGGACAATCAATCTCTTAGCTCCTGCACAGATTGGACATGAACATGAAGTCATGGAGCCATGTTTAGGTCTGTGTTTATGTGGCTGAATGTGAACTGACATGTTGATGCTTCCAGAGAGGAGTCACTTGTGTTCGGCTCATCCCTGTAGATTTAAAGCATATGCGCTTGTAAATATAACAGAGGGGCGGCTGCGATCGGCATGACTCTGTGCCAGAGAATGACATTTACTTGCACAGGCTCTGACATTAGCAAATGGGACCTGCAGCGTTGGCGTCTAGGTCTGGAGCGTTTGTCATAACAAAGGTCTAATAGGACAGCAGCATCTACGCAGGACAGTGAACCAGGAGGACTGTGAGCAGCAGTGATGTCACTCACTAAGTGAGATGGAACAGGTGCTGGTCATTGTCAGAGACGTAGACCCTGAAGTAGACAGAGATGCGTCGGAGGCCTCGGAGGTGGTGTGTTGTACTTCATACACATGCACAAACCCTCACACGTAAACACCTGGATGGACTGTGTTTAGATTTTACATCTGCACAGAACCTTAGAGTTCAACAAACATTCCTCACCTTTCCTCAACCTTTGTAATTTTTTAGGCCAGTCAGAATTATGATGACTCAATGTTGCAGTTAAAGTGAAACAGCGGTAAATTACACAATACATTCTTCACTCACTGTTACAGTCAGACATTCACCTCTCCAACTTTTTTAACTCATTGTTGAACTTTTAGGTGAGAATGTGTGAAATTGTATCAAATTCGGCATCAAAGTGACAGGACGCCTAACTGAAAGTTAGTGAGTGCAGCAGTGTCACATTGGGACCAGCATTCTGTTCCTCAAACTTCTCGGCCAGGCTTTGTGTTATATAATTCAAGTCGGTGCTTCCTGTTTTTAAATGTTACAAAAAAAAAAGGACGATTTTTTTTTCCCCCTCTTTTCCATTCTCTCTCGTGGTTCTTATTCTTTCTTTGTGCATCTTTTTTCTGTTACAATCTATACATCACTGTTTCTTTGAATCATGAATATGTTTCGCACCTACATTTAGCAAACAACCACACACACATATGCGGAAACAGGAAGTGTGTAGTACATTGTGCACACACTCTTTGTACCCGCCTTCTTAGCTTTTAAAAAAAAAGCTCAAACAAAGGAGGAAATGAGAGGATGGCTTGACTGCCAGAGAGAGACAGGGAGGGAGTGCAGGTCCTCTTCATGTCAGTCCAAATGCATCAGTGCTCAGCCATGTCAACATTTTAGATGGACTTGTGGACATTAGGAGACAATAAGACAACTTTAAGAGCTCAGAAGTCCTTCACTGCAGTTTTTGCTCCTCTCCCTCTGGAACATCACTGACTGTTTGGTCTCCTCTCCTCTGTCTCCATGCAGTCCTCCAACTCAAACTCCAGCAGAGACGAACACGGGAGGAGCTGGTCAGCCAAGGGATCATGCCACGTAAGTCTCCGGTCCTCAGTCTCTGTCATGGTGCCCTAACCTTCTGTCAGTGAACCAGAGAGTACTCTGTGTTGTACTTCTATCACATGTCTCTAATGCATCTTCAGACGTACATATGGTATGTATTTTGCATGTGTTTTGTATAAATGCATACACACACGAAGATGTTATTATTGTACGGACACTCTTAGATCAGCGTGTCCCTGCCTCAGGGTCAAGGTTGGACTCCTTCTTTCATCTTCTTCAGAGTTTTCTTACAGTTGACGTTTTTATAAATTTTGTCAAACATAACAAAAGCTGTGAGCTGTAACTGACACGACCCGTAGATTCTTTTGCTGACTTGCAGTCCTGCTCCACATGTGCTTCACAGGATGTGTGGGTAGAAACCCGTCTTCCACAATTTTGCGTTGACGCATCTATGCTTTTTTTCCCTGCTGTTTACTAGACATGATATCTCTTATCGTTGACAATTGTGTGTGTGACTTTTTGCGTTCTGCATGTGTCACTCTTTTGGTGTCATTTTAACCACTCTGTGTTATCAAATAGGCCAGCTTCCTCTTCTTCTGTATCTACTTCCTGTTTCACAGTCTTCACACATCACAAGAGGCATTTTCATTATTCTCTTTAATTAAAGATGGTAAAAAAAGAAATTGTAAAATAGAACATACAATGTGACCTTTAGCATCACAGAGACCTGAATGTGTGTTTGAGTGACAAAAGTAAAGACTGGTGGAGGCCAAAGAGAAAAAAGAAAAGTGAGAGTGTAGTTTTCTATATCAAACCCTATGCAATAGAGGATGGTCAAAAATGTTATTAGGTGAAACCCTGCAGGAAAGATGAATAAAAATGGATGAAAACTAACATTTTGATCTAAAACATGTAAATGTTAAAAAGGAACTAGAAAGATGCATAAAGAACATATAAAGTAAAAAAAGAAATGCTTCACATGTAACAAGATAGCACGATTGAGATTTGAATTTGCCTGTGGCGTTTAGGGAACTTCAGAAGAGTCATGTTAGGAAGATGGGAGTCTAAACAATCACCAGACTGTGATGTTCAAACATTCAACATGTCTTCACACAGTTCAGCCAGGTTGGGTCAGGTGGTCTTAAGCAGCGGTCTCCCAGCCGCTGCTGCTGCTGCTGCTGCAGTCATGCTGTGCCCACTGTGAAACTAACAGAGAGAATTGAAAACATCACAGTGAAAGTGCACAGATATGATTACATTACATATGTAAGTCTTCTTCTACTTGTATGTCACCACCTGTAAAGTTGTGAAACAGGACAACTCCCACCTCCACCCACTCTTCTGTACCGCACACACACACACACAGACGACGCCCAGCTGTAGCCAGGGTGTCCACCCTCTCACGTCCTCAGCAGGGATTTCACCAGCTCTTGACCAATCAGATGATCTCTGGGTTACATCACTCATCAACTGCCACTCTTCTCTGAACTCTCCATTCTTCCCCAAATTCATTGTCTGTTTGTGTTGTTCAATCATTTAAACTGTCCATATGCATAACACTCACCACCAAGAAACCTGGAAACCAAGACTTTTTGTTTGTATAAATCAGACGTCACTGTTGTTGTTTTCCTCTACGCACGTCACCACCAATCAACTTTTCTCTCTTGGTGCCAGACAGGGCACAACTGCCTGTCTAAAAATTCAGAAAATTCAGTAAATATGTGCTCTAACCCCCATACACACACATACACACTCTACGGGAGCATTTACACCCATGACTACACATAAATGCAGGCTTACAGTAATGTGTATATAAATGAGTAAAGGTACATTCTAAGGCATTTAGGGATTAATGTCTGCTGAGCTGCCACAGTAAGACTGAAGAAGACCACCTCAAAGACAAGAGTCAAAAGAAAGCAGCTTGAGTTGAGCCTCTTAAAACAGTCTTATTAATAATAGTCAGCCGCGACACGCTTTATGGGAAATGTTACTCTGTATTTTCAATTTTAAAAATGAACAAACTAGAGGAAGTGGTTTTGTTCTTAACTCTATTACTAGAAACTGACTTCTGCCTAAAAAGTATTCTTAGGCTCACAGTTCAATGAACAGTGTTGAGTGTGTGCGTTTGTGTGTGTGTGAGAGAGTGTGTGGTTCTACTTGATAAAAACACAGCTGACCTTCCCCATCCTGCAGCCACTTCTGCTTCAGCTGCTCTGTGGCTGCATCTGTTCTCACTGTAGCTGCTTATGTTGTCACTCGCCGATGTGAGTGTCACGACTCTCACCCTCTCACCCTGTGTGAGCCTGACTCTCCTCTGTCTCTTTGTCCCATCCTTCTCGGAGCAGCACTGAAGAGCCCGGCAGCCTTTCACGAACAGAGGAGGAGTCTGGAGCGAGCCAGGGTGAGTGCAGTGAATCTTCCATATACACAGTCCAAACAGCTTGACATGAGGCAGCAGTCGCTTGTCGTCCCGCAGAAAATAAATTAGAAATGCTGGGCGCAGTACAAAGAAAAAGTGAAGTACGTCTACTCAGATTAGAAGCTGCCAAAAGGAGCAGAGTTAATCTGAAACTTCAAATAAAAAGTCATGAGGAGTGGAAATTGGATTCTGTCAGCCATCAGAGACTTCTGGAGAAAAGGGAAAGAACAAACCTGCAACTTGCAAAGATTATTTATACTTTCCTGTTGTTATTCCACAGAGTTTTAACTATCAGTGTTGGAGCTAACAGCTGCCGAGATGTAAACATTAGTGAATTAATATTTGAACAGTTATCTTTGATGCTAGAAACTTTTGGTTGAACTGGGATCATGTGTGCATTTAATTACTTTATATCAGAGTTACAAATGTCATTTTTATCATCTCCATCTTCTATCTTCTAATGCGAACTGTTTTTTCTTTCTCGGCTCTCAGACCGAAGATTATCTGAAGAGGAAGATCCGTTGTCGTCCTGAACGCTCAGAGTTGGTCAGGATGCACATTCTGGAGGGTGGGTATTAAGATGAAGTTACGACGAGATCCAAGGAAAGGTTCAATTACCTCATGTAAAAGGAGCACAGAACAAAATACATCACTAGATTGGGTGTGGTTCTTTTTTTAGTTTATTTTTTAACTTTGGTCTAAAAATGAACTCTGAAGAATTGAGCAAGTAACTTTGAAGTAAGACAAGGTTGAAGAGTTCTGTTAGACAACTGGACGGGAACGTTTCTCAGAGAAGAAGCCTCTTGGATGAGAGGTGAAACGTCTTCTTTGAGAAAAATTCACGTCCTAACAGAACTCTTCAACCCTGACCATGGCCTGGATGACTGAGAATCTTCATAGTTTGAAGTAAGACACCTCCCATTCTCCCTGCTGAAATATGAACATCACTGGAATACTGCTTACACTGTACTGACATACTCAATTCAATTCCATTTTTGAACCCTCCTGACTTCATGTTTGTGGTTCTCGCTCCACAGAGACATCTGCAGAACCTTCTCTTCAGGCCAAACAGCTGCAGCTGAAGAGAGCCAGGCTGGCCGACGACCTGAATGACAAGATCTCCCACAGACCTGGTCCCATCGAACTGGTTCACAAGAACATCCTCTCTGTTAGCTGCGCTCCTCAGCAGTCACCAGAGGGTAAACACACACACACAGCTCAGACTGGTGCATACATTACATTACACTACACTTACTGAATACAGTTAGTTATACAGACAGTGGCCTCATGTGTTCAGTCTTTGAATCTCTCACTGAAATACTAACATCCATGAGACAGTGATCGTGTTTACACCACATTGTAGTGCATCATTCTCTGGATGGGTTTCAGTGGAAATACAGCTGCTGCAAAGCACAATGTCACATTATGGAAGTAAAGTGATGACAAAAAAAAACCCACAACTCTCACAGAGAATGACACAACCCCTGATTTGGACATGGGCTTCTTTTGAAACCTGTGAGGAGTGACTGTTCCTCTAAAGTTACTGACCGACTGTAACTGTCTACATTGTGTTCTACTATGATGTTACAGCTGGAGGAGAGAGCTCATCTTTAGATGAAGACAGCAGCGATGCTCTGTCGCCAGACCAGCTGACCAATCACGACTCTCCACTAAGTGCCGTCCCTCAGTTGTCCCCCTGTGGCGTACCCACCCAGAGTGGAGACATGTCTCCCACACAGGTAGAGCCTCAGAGCGTTGATCTAATCTAAGACACAAGCTTGAACTTAAAGTATGTAGGTGAAACGAAGAAGTCAGGATTGAAACTAAAATCTAAACCATTAAACTGAGTCACTATTGTTGTAGTTCCTGACTCAGCCTCCGCCTCCTCCACCTCCTCCACCACCTGTACACCTGATAAATGGGTCAGACTCATCTGCACTCCCAAAATTGACAAACGGAACGACAATGACTTCACCAAGTTCCCGCTCCTCCAGTGGACAGGTCAAGGTGAGTATCTGCTGCTGACCTTCTGATCTTCACACC